ACCATCACTCACCATGACTATGACTATAACCTATGACTACATTTGTAACTACCACTATTATCATAACCATCACTCACCATGGCTATAGCTATAACCTATGACTACATTTGTAACTACTACTATTATCATGACCATCACTCACCATGACTATGACCATAACCTATGACTCACATTTGTAACTTCAGCTACAAATATAAAAACAGTTAAAATTAGGCTGAGAATACTCACATTTTATTGGCTGCACAATGTATTGGAATTCCTTTTCAGCTTTTGATCTTGTAGTATGTCAAGAGGTTATGAACCCAAAAAATGAAGTCACAACTATTAGAGTTAGAGTCAAAAGTATATATCTTAACTATATCTGTATCTTAATAATACCTTATATTATTTTTTTCCGGTCCGGTATCCTAAAAAATCGTGCGTTCTGATTGGCTGTTTGAGCGGGCGGTATTTTCTAAGTATCTGCCCGCGCGCGCGGTCCGGTATCCTTTGCCGCTAAACGACAACACAAAACGATTACCAAAACAAGTAAAAAAAATACGGGAAAAAAATAAATAAGTTATTTACCGTCCTATAGTAGATGAAGAGCTACCCGGTACCTCTCTCTTGGGCGAATGATTACACAAGTCAAGTTTGGATTAGCACGCAAGGCGTGAGAATATGAATTATAACCAGAAATGATAAAGAAAAACACGGATGATTAGCAGATGGTAGATTATAGACAATTAATATAACCCCTTTGTTTTAATGTGTTGTCTGTTAGAAGGCAATAAGTAAGAGTTAATTGTTATATACCAACTGTCAAAGTCCTTTTCTCTCTTTCTATGATTGGTCGAAAACGTGAGCAAGTTTCGATGTTTCCCCGGCAACGGCTCTCGGCGGACAACAACATGTTGTTGACTGGTAATAAGTTTTTCCACATCAAAAAATCAAAAAATTATTTTGTTTTCTTTGACTCTTGGTGTCTAACAAAACACTAATAATTGTCTATTTTTCTTTTCTTTCTATTTTATAATATTGAAAATGTAGAATTAGAACAAATGAATTGAATAGTTGGATATTTTCAACAACAAGAGTTTATTATCGATGTTTCCCCGGCAACGGCTCTCGGCGGACAACAACATGTTGTTGACTGGTAATAAGTTTTTCCACATCAAAAAATCAAAAAATTATTTTGTNTTCTTTTCTTTCTATTTTATAATATTGAAAATGTAGAATTAGAACAAATGAATTGAATAGTTGGATATTTTCAACAACAAGAGTTTATTATCGTAAATGATTGCCAATGAAGTATATATAAATTTATTTATTATGGGAAGCCATTTCAATGTTATGGCATGTCGTACCGTGCACGTACTGTAAGTTTTTACCGTATGTTTCCCACTCATACGATAACCATTCTTATGGGAAACCATTTCAATGTTACGGCATGTCGTAACGTGTACGTGCTGTAAGTCAGTACCGTATGTTTCCTACTCATACGATAACCATTCTTATGGGAAGCCATTTCAATGTTACGGCATGTCGTACCGTGTACGTGCTGTAAGTCAGTACCGTATGTTTCCCACTCATACGATGACCATTCTTCTGGGAAGCCATTCAATGTTATCATGTAGTATTGTGTTTTAGAATCGAGCACTTTTTTATTCAACTATAAGGCAATGTTTTAGTGAAAAAAGATATATTCCTAGTGGGTTGCTTATAAACCTGTATAAGTTCGATCAGACGTTATCAGTCATATAAGCAATATCGATCCGCGAAAAGTAGAGCTGTGCTTTCCAGTCTTTCGTTGCGTGATGGCGCAAGACTCAAATTCTCAAGTAGTGGAACATGCACAGCGTAAAACTGTTTATTTTGTGGCCTACAAAAGGGCAGTACCTGCAATCATTTAATATTGTGAAGAGAACACCAAGGGAGAAGATCAACTTAGACAAGTTAACTAACGAAATCATTCTTTTCTGTGAACCATTCCATTATCTTTTGACAACTAACCCAGAGGATGGAGGGTGAGAATATTTTTTGGCTCGCAAAGCTGCCATTACTGCAAAGACAGCAAGTGTGCCCCTGAAGCTGCATTGCCCCCCCCGGCACAAATGATGTGGACCACAGAACAACAAGCAATGCCTTGGTTTAAACTTAGGCCCCGTCCACACTATGCCGGACAAATTTGAATCCGAAACTTTCACACCGACTCCGAAAAAAAGTTTTCCATCCGCACATGAAAAAGGATAAAATGTTTTGCGCCCACACTAGACCGATCAGAGGCGTGAGCATGCGCATCGAGCCTGAAATTGAGCCCGCGGTGAATCTCGCCATGTCCCCATGACAACCATATATATATCACGTGACAGCTAGTACTCACAAGGTGAATTTAAAGAAAATATTATCCACATCACAAAATACATATCATACTAATGTTAGTACAACTACTGTGTTTAAGCAAGTTTAGATGAATGCTTATTTTAAAAAGTCTCAAATATCAAATGCTGCCCGAACTAGGTTTCGGTGAGGTCATATACCATCCTTTATTCTACATTCTCATCCCTCTGTGCTTCATCTTGATGTTGTTCATAGTTGAAAAACCATGAAAAAAGAGTTCTAAAAAACTGTAACCCACCCCTCCCCTCCCCCCATTCCAATCTTGTTTGCGATGGCAAAGGAGCCTGGGTAATAGTTCCCAGGCTCTCTCCATGTGATAAACAAAAATGGCGGTCAAGTTGATGCGAGGGACTTTTTGATCCCAAATTTAATTTTAAACGCCTTATTTCATGTTATTTAGCTTTAAGATGTAGAATATTGGTATATTGAAGTTTTAGAAGTGCTATTTTCTGTTGTGATGGAGAGTATTTTGCTTGTGGAGCGGCTAAAACAGGCCATTCAAGACGATTTCAAAGGTACACTTTATAGTTTGTGTTACTCTTAAATTTCCAAACTTTTCTTCAAAGACTTCGTTAAGACTTAAATGTCTACAAACTATGCATTCATCTGCTGCTTCGAGTGTGTTTTATATCATTTCAACGTAATCGTACGTATGGTTTATTGTGTATATAGTTGTTAGTACAGTTACATGCTGTTCTTTTGTATATTCTACTATCTGTGGTAAAAGCTTTTTAAGTTCTTATGTGGTACTGTGAATTATTTTCAAAAATG